CAGAGTAGGGCCAAGGACAAGGAGGGGAATATGGTGGCATAAAAACAGAGCAGGGCCAAGGACAAGAAGTGGGAGTGTGGCGGGACAATGACAGTAGGGCCAATGACAAGAGGTGGGAGTGTGGCGGGACAATGACAGAGTAGGGCCAAGGACAAGAAGTGGGAGTGTGGCGGGATAATGACAGAGTAGGGCCAAGGACAAGAGATGGGAGTGTGGCGGGACAATGACAGTAGGGCCAAGGACAAGAGGTGGGAGTGTGGCGGGACAATGACGGAGTAGGGCCAAGGACAAAGTATCGGAGTGTGGCGGGACAATGGGAATAGGGCCAAGGACAAGAGGTGGGAGTGTGGCGGGACAATGACAGAGTAGGGCCAATGAACCTAACAAATAGTTTTTACACCACAGCCTTTTTAAAATTTACAATTTTGTATTCAGGAAAATAATATAAAACAAGGAGCTTGATCATATAAGTTAATGTAAAAATCGATATGGTACCCAGTAGATGATATTTTAACATGACAGTGCATTATTAGAACAGATTCCATTCAAATTATTTATTTTAAGCTTGAAGCTAGTAATATTTTTATATGATAATCATCAAAGTGAATGACTGAATGTTGAAAAAAATCACACCAAACAGCTTGTGACATTTTCATGCAGGCAATTAAAGTACATATTTTGAAAATGTTGAGTATTTTTGTGATGTATTATGGCAGGTCCAATCCTGTTATTTTTCAATTAAGAGCACAATAATTGAAGTAGGTCCTCCTTCAATAATTTATACATCGGTCAAATATCCATTTTTATTATTTTAATCATAAAACAATGTCTAATTAGGAGAAAGAAAGACAATAAAACACATGGCTACCTGTAGTACTATTAGAAACAGGATAACTAGAACATATGGACCATCAGGCTTTAAAATTTACGAAAAAATGACCAGGAGCCGAGATAATTGTGCCAAGTGTTTCTGTAATCAAAAATTCAATTCCTCCATCAAAATCTTTTTCAAAATAGTTTCAGAACTTTTATTGATAATTCCAGCTGGTGGAATAAATTCTGAATTTCATTGACCAAATAGAAGTAAAGACCAGCACTGAGCTTGAATGTGAAGAGACAACATTTTAATAAAACAATATTTCCACCTGTATTACTGTTTATGTAGTCAATTTCATTAACTGAAAATCAAAATACTGTTTTACGTGAAATGTTCGTTGTGTATAAAATATTCATGGTTTTCGGTGTTGCTATTGAACCACGAAAACAATTACAATGAATTTGAATGAAACATGTGTCTACTATTTGTAAATATAGGATATCCATGAAAGTTTGTACCACAAAACGATCTAAATAGCTTCAAACCATGAAGGAAAGTATCCACAGACATTTCGTGTTATACAGTACATGTAACTTAGGCATTTACATGAATTGATACAATAAACTGATGAATTTAAAGTTTTGAGATTGTTGGGTAGTCATTGTTAATTTCCACTTAAAATGTATCCATTCATACTTAATTCACAGATAATTAATTCAGTTCTGAAATAGAATTGGTCAGTCATGGTTATATGTGGATTCACTCAGCAGCAAAAGTGAAAATAAATGGGTTTCTAAGACAACCCTGTACATGGTAAACTGACCATATTTTAAGAAACAACCCTGTAAATGGTATTTAAAGACTAAATTATTTGCAGATATTCTTCAAAGCTAGGTTTGGCAAATTAATGCATCATACAAATAAAGGAAGACCCATGCATTTTACCTGTCATTATGCTGGCCAAAAAGGTTTATTAGCTAATGCTTAATATGAATTTGTCAATCACATGGATTGAGATAAAGGTAAATTATCTGTTGCTGTGTAAGATCCTCGGAAACAAGCAACTAGATGGTTCATCACAGTGATATATAACTACATGTTGTTAGATGGTTCAGTGATATATAACTACATGTTATTAGATGGCTCATCACAGTGATATATAACTACATGTTGATAGGTGGTTCATCACAGTCATATATATCTACATGTTATTAGATGGTTCATCACAATGATATATAACTACATGTTGTTAGATGGTTCAGTGATATATAACTACATGTTATTAGATGGCTCATCACAGTGATATATAACTACATGTTCTTAGATGGTTCATCACAGTGATATATCACTACATGTTGATAGGTGGTTCATCACAGTGATATATAACTACATGTTATTAGAAGGTTCATCACAGTGATATATAACTACATGATGTTAGATGGTTCATCATAGTGATATATAACTTCATGTTATTAGATGGTTCATCACAGTTATATATAACTACATGTTGTTAGATGGTTCATCTTAGTGATATATAACTTCATGTTATTAGATGGTTCATCACAGTTATATATAACTACATGTTGTTAGATGGTTCATCTTAGTGATATATAACTTCATGTTATTAGATGGTTCATCACAGTTATATATAACTACATGTTGTTAGATGGTTCATCTTAGTGATATATAACTTCATGTTATTAGATGGTTCATCACAGTGATAGTGATATATAACTACATGTTGTTAGACGGTTCATCACAGTGATATATAACTACAAGTTGATAAGTGGTTCATCACAGTGGTTCATCACAGTGATATATAACTACCTGTTGATAGGTGGTTCATCACAGTGATATATATCTACATGTTGTTAGATGGTTCATCACAGAGATATATAACTACATGTTGATAGGTGGTGCATCACAGTGGTTCATCACAGTGATATATCACTACATGTTGTTAGATGGTTCATCACAGTCATATATAACTACATGTTGTTAGGTGGTTCATCACAGTGATATATAACTAAAAGTTGTAAGATGGTTCATCACAGTGATATATAACTAAAAGTTGTAAGATGGTTCATCACAGTGATATATAACGTCATGTTGTTAGATGGTTCATCACAGTGAAATATATCTACATGTTGTTAGATGGTTCATCACAGAGATATATAACTACATGTTGATAGGTGGTTCATCTCAGTGGTTCATCACAGTGATATATAACTACCTGTTGATAGGTGGTTCATCACAGTGATATATATCTACATGTTGTTAGATGGTTCATCACAGTCATATATAACTACATGTTGTTAGGTGGTTCATCTCAGTGGTTCATCACAGTGATATATAACTAAAAGTTGTAAGATGGTTCATCACAGTGATATATAACTCCATGTTGTTAGGTGGTTCATCACAGTGATATATAACTAAAAGTTGTAAGATGGTTCATCACAGTGATATATAACGTCATGTTGTTAGATGGTTCATCACAGTGAAATATATCTACATGTTGTTAGATGGTTCATCACAGTGAAATATATCTACATGTTGTTAGATGGTTCATCACAGAGATATATAACTACATGTTGATAGGTGGTGCATCACAGTGGTTCATCACAGTGATATATAACTACATGTTCTTAGATGGTTCATCACAGTGATATATCACTACATGTTGTTAGATGGTTCATCACAGTCATATATAACTACATGTTGTTAGGTGGTTCATCATAGTGATATATAACTACATGTTGTTAGATTGTTCATCATAGTGATATATAACTTCATGTTATTAGATGGTTCATCACAGTGATAGTGATATATAACTACATGTTGTTAGGTGGTTCATCTCAGTGGTTCATCACAGTGATATATAACTAAAAGTTGTAAGATGGTTCATCACAGTGATATATAACGTCATGTTGTTAGATGGTTCATCACAGTGACATATAACTACATGTTGATAGGTGGTTCATCACAGTGATATATAACTTCATGTTATTAGATGGTTCATCACAGTTATATATAACTACATGTTGTTAGATGGTTCATCATAGTGATATATAACTTCATGTTATTAGATGGTTCATCACAGTTATATATAACTACATGTTGTTAGATGGTTCATCATAGTGATATATAACTTCATGTTATTAGATGGTTCATCACAGTGATAGTGATATATAACTACATGTTGTTAGGTGGTTCATCTCAGTGGTTCATCACAGTGATATATAACTATATGTTGTTAGGTGGTTCATCACAGTGATATATAACTTCATGTTATTAGATGGTTCATCACAGTTATATATAACTACATGTTGTTAGATGGTTCATCATAGTGATATATAACTAAAAGTTGTAAGATGGTTCATCACAGTGATATATAACTTCATGTTATTAGATGGTTCATCACAGTTATATATAACTACATGTTGTTAGATGGTTCAGTGATATATAACTACATGTTATTAGATGGCTCATCACAGTGATATATAACTACATGTTCTTAGATGGTTCATCACAGTGATATATCACTACATGTTGTTAGATGGTTCATCACAGTGATAAATAACTACATGTTGTTAGATGGTTCATCTTAGTGATATATAACTTCATGTTATTAGATGGTTCATCACAGTTATATATAACTACATGTTGTTAGATGGTTCAGTGATATATAACTACATGTTATTAGATGGCTCATCACAGTGATATATAACTACATGTTATTAGATGGCTCATCACAGTGATATATAACTACATGTTATTAGATGGCTCATCACAGTGATATATAACTACATGTTCTTAGATGGTTCATCACAGTGATATATATCTACATGTTATTAGATGATTCATCACAGTGATATATAACTACATGCTATTAGATGGTTCATCACAGTGATATATGATATATAACTACATGTTGTTAGATGGTTCAGTGATATATAACTACATGTTATTAGAAGGTTCATCACAGTGATATATAACTACATGTTGTTAGATGGTTCATCATAGTGATATATAACTTCATGTTATTAGATGGTTCATCACAGTGATATATAACTACATGTTGTTAGATGGTTCATCATAGTGATATATAACTACATGTTATTAGATGGTTCATCACAATGATATATAACTACATGTTGTTAGATGGTTCATCTTAGTGATATATAACTTCATGTTATTAGATGGTTCATCACAGTGATATATAACTACATGATGTTAGATGGTTCATCATAGTGATATATAACTAAAAGTTGTAAGATGGTTCATCACAGTGATATATAACTACATGTTATTAGATGGCTCATCACAGTGATATATAACTACATGTTGTTAGATGGTTCATCTTAGTGATATATAACTTCATGTTATTAGATGGTTCATCACAGTGATATATAACTACATGTTGTAAGTTGGTTCATCACAGTGATATATAACTACATGTTATTAGATGGTTCATCACAGTGATATATAACTACATGTTATTAGATGGTTCATCACAGGGATATATAACTACATGTTGTTAGATGGTTCATCTTAGTGATATATAACTTCATGTTATTAGATGGTTCATCACAGTGATATATAACTACATGTTGTTAGATGGTTCATCACAGTGATATGTAACTACATGTTGTTAGATGGTTCATCACAGGGATATATAACTTCATGTTGTTAGATGGTTCATCACAGTGATATATAATTTCATGAAAATGCAGGAAAATGAATATATTTGCTAAATAATTTAACTTTGTATTACATCAAGTTATGAGCACCACTTATATTAAATATAGATGATATTAAAGCTCACAACAGCAAACTGTACATAGGTTTATTTTGATGTGTAGGATTTGACTGATGTGAAGGATTTTGTTGTGTAGAATTTGACTGTTGAGAGGGGTTTTGTTGTGTAGAATTAGATTGTCGTGAAGGGTTTTGTTGCATAGGATTTGATCGTTGTGAGGGGTTTTGTTGTGTAGGATTTGATTGTGATGGGTTTTGTTGCATAGGATTTGATTGTTGTGAGGGTTTTTGTTGTGTAGAATTTGATTGTGAAGTTTTGTTTTGTTTTGACTTATTTAACTTTCCTGTAGAATATGGGTTTTGTGAAGGTATTGACAGTTGTAATGGATAAGGTTGTGTAGAATTTGTTTGTTGCGTAAAAGTTGTTTGTGGTTTATGTTGAGTATAATTTTGTTGTGTATTAGGTCGAGTGGACATATAAGCACCAACTCCTACAGCTTCACTAGATGTATCTGATCGATCCAATGGAACTTGGCCAGTTCCGACAGGCATCACGGCATCCAACATTTCACAGTTGTCTCTATAATGCTTTCTGCAAGCTGATGCTCCAGGAAGGTCAGAAGTATTAGTAGCAGAAACATTTGCCATGGATAAGTTGTTACTGTTTCTATTTTCATTAGTGACGTTGTCGATATCTGCATGTTTTTGTAACACAGTATCTCTAGTTTGTGTATCATTTTGTGAACTCAGTCCTCTAGATATATCTGGATTAGGATTTAACTCATACTTTCCTCCCTTATAGTTAGACGAATCAGATTTGTTTTGGAGTGGGACAATAGGGCTAGAACCCAATGCACTAGTAAGTGCTGCTTTTGGTTTCCTGACACGATTATCCATATCTTTCTTCATGGTACTTGTTTGTGTGGGGGAGAAATTAGAGATGTTAACTGCAGTTAAACAAAAAGACTGTCCGTTTTCCTTGCCAGTTGATGAGTTTGGTGTTGCCAGGAAACCTTTGGAATATTTATCTGATAAAATAGTGGAACTCTTGGCTGATTTTGGTGGGTGAGAAAGCCTTGACAGTTGATGAATCTGTCTTTGTCTATGGTTCATTGATTCGGAAACATTGCTTAAGCTACATTCCTTTGGTACAGTCTGATCAGGTAATTGTTTATGATCACCAAGAAATTTTGCTTTGTGTAATTCACTAGTGACCACACGATTTTGAATACCAAGTGGTACAGGCTGTGCTTTTGGTTTGGCACCCATTGCAACCTTTAATTCTGATTGAGATTGCTTTGATGGAAAGTCTTTGAGTAAATGCCATGAAACCTCTGAGAATGGTGATACTGGTGTTTCTGGTAGCTTTCCCTCAGAAGGTGCATGCTGCATCGGAGGTCCTTCCTTTATGAACTGGATGTCTTTAGAAAGGGATGATGTAGAATCATTGCTATCATATTTATTTTGAAGAAAGTCTGATCCTTTCTGCTGTAGTATTTCATGCATGGTACATGATTCTATGACACCTTGTCGAGGAGGTTTTGGTGGAGGTTGATTGGTCTGTGGTAGAAAACAGGGTTTCTGTATTTCTTGATAGTCTAAAGGAGATATCATATTGTACTTATCATCCTCTCTGTCAGAGTTGTCCTGAACAGAGCTTTTCCTACTGGCATTCTTGGCCCCCTCCTTAGCCATTGCACGCTCCTGTAGAAAGCTTTGTGTCCTTTGTTTTTCCTTTCCCATGATTTTATCACTATCACGTGTAAATTCATGGTAAGACACACCTTGCGGATCAGTCATTTTATTATCACTGACAGTTTGATCATTGTTATTTCCCAATTTCTTGTTGTTTTCACTGTTTATAAACACATTTGAGCCAATTGGGAGGGAAGAAGAATCGGACAGTACTGAAGCTGTAGGGCAGTATTTATATTTGACATCTGTTTCCTGGGCACAGTTCAGATAAGAATGTGTAGGGCTTGTTGGTTTATGCTTTTGTATTTGAGAGACACTGTCCCATGCTTGTACTTCTTCATCTCCAGATGAAATTGTTGAACTCCTACAAGATACATTTTCACTTATTGACATCGGAAACACAGATTCATCATCAATAGGCCTTAATGTTGCCTCATAAGGAGGCAATTCCTCATCATCCTCTATAGGTAATGGAGGCTGAAAATTTTCAAGCTCATCACAAGCTCTTAAAGAATCATACCCATTGCTCCTTACGTTATGCGATAGTATTTCTGCACTGTTAACACTCATCAAGTTTGATCCAACTTCAGGTATTCTTGATGCATCTGATATGAGTGGATCATTTGCAGATGTAATTGCATGAAAGTTTGGAGCATCAGACCCATTCTCCCTTCTGTGACTCTGTCCATGTCTTCGCTCATCAGGGGTATCACCGTGTGATGCATGATTGACCACAGACTCGTTGCCACGACTGCAATTTGCACTACTTCTACTCCTTGGTCTCGTTCGATGTTTGTGTTTTCGATGCCTCCTGCTGGGGTTTTCTCCAGAATTTCCTGCCACTAAAGGTGCAGAACTGCCTGTGCTTGCACGTCTTGCTCGGTGTCTGTTTGCTTGGTTTTCTTCTTTTATCTGCCTTAGATGCCTGGCATGTTGTCTTTTGATTACCCATTCGTTCCAGTATAAATGTTTCAAACAAACAAGAGTTGTTGTCAAACATATGGTAAACTGAGCAACTGCTAGTGCCAGTAAAAACCCATGGACAAGTTTAGTGGAGCTGTAGCCAATCTTCATATACCCCTGTATGTTCCTGTAAAAACCACTATTGAAGTCGAGTCCACCAGCAGATAACACCATCACAGGAATAGACAGGAAACAGGATAGTATTGACGAAATCAGAAACAGTCGGACAATGCCTACTCCTTTCTTATTAGCAGCAAATATACCCAATACACCAGCAACAAAGGCAGCAGCTCCGCCCCATATTCCTCCTCCCATCTCGTAGCCCCATATCTTCTGCACATAGCCAAGGACAGAAAGCACTATTTCACTCACACCAACCAATGATAGAATGATAGTAACTGCAAGTATTTGGTAATGTGGAAAGCTGAATAATAGCCTCACACGAAGAGACATGATGGGTAAATAATGTCTACCACTTTAAAGATCATTCATGTACATATGTCCATTATATAAAGCCATGTTCCAGTTTTCGCGTTTATATGTGAAGGTATACATGAATAGCGTCCTTCAACTCTGTGTGAATGGTATTATTTGACGTCTGACAAAATTCCTCATGTGTCAACTGTCACAGCCACAGGTGATCACAGGAGTCAGGACAAAGTTTCCGAAGTCTTCACCTTTGACGTTTTCCACATAACAATTTTAGCGAAATAACCTTAAACGTAAGTTGCAACCCGTCCCCGGCTACTCATGTCACAGATCTTATCTAGCCGACACGATATGCGTAATTATTTGTGTAAACATTATTTAACATTACCTGTTCAGGTAGGTTGACTTCAGTATATATGAGAAATGTTAGTTGATTGGTTTGTTGATCTTTTTAACAACTAATCAGAACGATCGTAACAAATTAATAGGTACAAAACGGAAGCGCTTCATAAACCGGAAGTTTACTAATATGGCGGGCAATGATGATGTTTGCAAACTAGCATTTGATGGACATTTGGAAATTTTGAAACAAAAACTAAGAGACAACAATGACCTGGCAACAAAGGTCGACGAGGTAATAACATTGGATGCTAAAGGGACTTGCCACCGTTTCACTTTTGTTAGGAAAGACACATTGTTCTGTAGCATTGAGTTCAGTAGGCCTACTCAGGGGTGTTAGTAAGTTAGTAAAATTTGTTTTTCACCATATTCACTAATTCTGAAATCTTGTTTCGTTGATTTCATGATTCTAAAAAGATTTGAAATACAACGCACATGTTTACACTCCATATTACCCGACGGTGCAAGAGGAATAACTCTAATACTGTTAAATGTTAATGAGAATATGTTTTGCATCATCATGTTATATCTACCACATCGTACGATCATTATAGCTTTAATTTTCAGATATGAACTAGTGATAACTCAACCAAACATACTTGGAAGGTTTGTGTAATCTCATGAATGATTATAATGTAAAATGTCAGATAATTGTGTTTGTGACACTAGCGTTTGCTGGTTATTAAAAGAAAATAAACAACAATTTACAATATATTCATTCTATTAACTGATCAATTGCAAGCTATATATATATATATATGTATAGCTAGTTTATTTATCCTTTAAGATATTAATATTCTGACCAAGAAACAATATTTGTAGGAATGGCTAGATGTTTTGTGTTCTAAACATGTTCATACTGTAATTAGTACAAATATAAATTGTGTTTTTCTTTTTTCTTTATATCATTTTAGACGAACCGGATGCCACTGCACTGGGCAGCGTCTGCAGGCCACCTAGTTATTGTGGAATGTCTGTTCAAATACAATGTCCCTGTAGATGCTAGAGATGAGGTACAATGACTGTAAGATGCACAGAGTGAGAGTTACTGTGTTTCACGTTCACGTTAAATTGCTACGTTTTGTCCCTCCTCAACCTAATCCTTAGACCTTGAACTACATGTCTTCAGTGTGTGCTCCATGTTTCAGTTTACTTTTAAACATGTACATGTGGATTCAAAAATTATCTTTAATATCACCAATGATGTTTGGTTTTAACAAGTGTCACTTATTGTGCAACCTTGAAATGATGAAGACAATATAAATGGTGTTAGATACTAGTGATGTCATAATTTACTAAATTTAGACAATACAATTTTCTGAATTAAAGATTAAAAATATGTCCTATTGTTCTTGTTGGAAATTGGTAGATTGTCCTCAATTTTGTTTCTAATGCCCTTCATCAAAATGATGATTATCACATGCACAATTTTTGACATTAGATACATATTATAAATTTTAAAATATATATATATACATTGTACATATATGTCATGACAGTGATTGTAAATGAGATTTCCAAGTTTTTAATGAATATTAACTGATCCATATGGAACTCTCTTAATCAGATTCATCTTGTGGTGTTTTTTCAGTCCAATTGGTCTGCACTGATGATAGCCTCCTCAGCAGGAAGGGACCAGATTGTCTCCCTTCTCCTGGGAGCTGGAGCTCAAGTTAATGCCGTCAACCAAACAGGCCAATGCTCCCTCCACTATGCAGCCTCAAAGAATAGATATGAGGTATCAACTTAAAAGAAAATATCTGTTATATACTCCCATACATAAAACACAAGAAAACAAAGAGATTTCCCCTCTCTCTTCACCATCAGCATCATCCATAGTCCATTGTGGTTCGGTAAACACTTCTTTTTATTGCTATTTCTAAAGATTTGCTGGAGGGATCTTTCTTAAATTTCTCAAGAAAGTTACTGTTTGCTGTGCATGTTCAATTTTGCAATGCCTGTGGGCCATAACTGAGTATGCTATTTGACATACTTGCTTCGTATCACATTAGGACATATTGTTAGGTTCATATCTGGGTAACTTTAAGTGTTACATGAATGATACTTGGGCTGCTCTGCTGAACAGATGTTGTAAATGCTGAATTTGACCAAACATTTTACACTTTAATGGATTCTTTAATACTCCCTCGTGTATCACATTAAGGAAGCTCGTGACAGTCCATATTTGGGTAATCATATTTGCTATGATACTGATTGGTTTTGACTACTGTAGGCATGTTGTAGATTCTGAATTTGACCTACATTTTACACTTCATTGACTTGATTGAGAAGAAATGGTCTAATTCATGTTTAAGGTTAAGAGTACCAACAAATTTAAACTGTATTATTATCATTGTCACTACTGTGAAATATTAGTATAAATCTTTTACAAAAGAAAAATTCCATAAAAATCACACGTTGTGATGCATCTTTATGGAATACAGTATTACATTGTTTTAGAAATTTTAATGTTCATATATATGTAACAATAAAAAAGAAAACAGAAAACCTGTTGCCAAGTTGACACTATACCAGTGTTGCCAAGCTGACACTATACCAATATTGCCAAACTGACACTATACCAATGTTGCCAAGCTGACACTATCCCAGTGTTGCCAAGCTGACACTATCCCAATATTGCCAAGCTGACACTATACCAATGTTGCCAAGCTGACACTATACCAGTGTTGCCAAGCTGACACTATACCAATGTTGCCAAGCTGACACTATACCAGTGTTGCCAACTGACACTATACCAATATTGCCAAGCTGACACTATACCAGTGTTGCCAAGCTGACAATATACCAATATTGCCAAGTTGACACTATACCAGTGTTGCCAAGCTGACACTATACCAGTGTTGCCAAGATGACACTATACCAATATTGCTCAGCTGACACTATACCAGTGTTGCCAAGCTGATACTATACCAATATTGCCAAGCTGACACTATACCAGTGTTGCCAAGATGACACTATACCAGTGTTGCCAAGCTGACACTATACCAGTGTTGCCAAGCTGACAATATACCAATATTGCCAAGCTGACACAATACCAATATTGCCAAGCTGACACTATACCAGTGTTGCCAAGATGACACTATATCAATATTGCCAAATTGACACTATACCAGTGTTGCCAAGCTGACACTATATCAGTGTTGCCAAGCTGACACTATACCAATATTGCCAAGCTGACACTATACCAGTGTCGCCAAGCTGACACTATAACAATATTGCCAAGCTGACACTATACCAGTGTTGCCAAGTTGACACTATACCAATATTGCCAAGATGACACTATACCAGTGGTGCCAAGCTGACACTATACCAATATTGCCAAGCTGACACTATACCAGTGTTGCCATCCAACAAATAGCATCAAAATGAATGTCTGATTTATAGGCAGCAAAGCCTATGAAAAACAATGAATATTGAAAGCGATAGAATGTGACTGGGGAAGTTACTCTAAGCTAGAAAAACTCCTTTTTAGCTAAGGCGTTAGCCGCCAGCTATTGGTATTACTTTAGTTAATGAGCTCAGATATTCATAAATGTCGATTTCACACAGACGGCCTCTAGCGGTAGTCACTGGTACTAAATTGAATCATATACCGGACCTACTGTCTTTATTATGCGTAACTTTGGACTCAAATGCACTTGAATGGCTTGTAAATATCATTACTTTTCTTTATAGAACATATGATCTTATCACAACGTCGTATTCTTATTGAAAATGCACCCTGTTTATCTCAATCGGGAACTGCTACTTGAATGTAGGTCATGCATGCTACACGCAACTTCCGGTAAAAATACTTCAGTTAATGAGCTCAGATATTCATAAACGAGACATAACGTCACCTTCTAGTAATACTAAACAAACTGCAAATAAAATCCATTACCACGGACTCAAGTTCACTCAAACGTCATTGGATATAATCTTATTCTTAGTTAGAACTAAGTATCCTTCTAAAACTTCGTATTTACTCTTGGAACTGTCGCTGGATTAACCCTTTACACGGAAATATTGTCCTGTGATTGGCTAAAATTGGTGACATTTACGTCCCTGTTTACAATTATATATTGCGTGGTCAGAGCTATGAAGCGGTCCTGTTCCAACTAACTGAGGATAATCAAAAGTGCTAATCAGTAATAATATATCTGATTCACGCTTCATATGATTATAATGTTATCAAAATATTGCATATTCGTTCATCGTTAAAATAACAAATCCTTACTAAAAACTCTAAAAAAAGAAACGACGGCCATGTTAGATCACGCGTGATGTTATCCGTTTCCTTATATGGCCTTCACGGCCAAATATAGTATTACTACTGATGCGGTCATGTTTACTACAATTTCCATATTTGGTCATGACACCCATATTTAGACGTCTGACCTATATCGGAAAGATTGAGGAAGTTTCCAACATGGCAGTCAATTAGGATTTCGCTTGCACTTGTTACGTAAACTTGATAATTTAACGAAATATAAGGCGGAGTATAACTTACAATTATGTAGGAGATCAACATAAAAAGTTCATATTACAAACCTATTAATGGATACGGATCCTGTCAATTAATTCTAAAATCGCCTCCGTGTGATTCACACCAGGCTTGCCTAACTAAAATGGGATCAACCGGCCGGGGCAGATGAGACCGGGAATCATGTTAGAACTAGCCACTGTCCTTCTCTAGTTCCATATTGGTATTCTAACCTGAAGGCTTTTTTTACCTTCGCAGTATTATCATTTTGTTCTATTTTCATCATAAGATATGCTATTGCATTTTTATATCGCCTTCTCGCTAATTACAGCTCAGCCAGAAACGAAAATATGCTCCGATAGGCCTACATTTTATATGTCTGTTGGTGTGATTTGTGTTTTTCGTTTATTGAAGTATTACCATATAACAGGACTCTTTTATTTCAATATACACAAAAACAACAACACCTTCGGAATGATTTCAGACATATACTGCGGGAAAACACGAGTGATCTCCCTTACATTTAGACATGCGCACATTTTACTTTCGTTTTGTGTAGGCCTAGACATCATTCGCAACGCGAAGCGGAAAAGACGAAAATGCAGGCGAATGTTGACTTAATGTTAGGCATGTTGTTAAAGCAGCATTGACAATGAACAATATACATACACTTCTGCAACGTTTACCTACTACTGATTCCTAAATAAGGCTATGTATCCCGATTTCGGTGACTTGTGGCCAAGCATGCGACCGAAGCCGCAGATTTATGGTTATATCGGCCCAAGGTAAAAACGGCCTCGATTTACCCAAGTGAAATCGGCCCAAGGTAAAATCGGCCCTATGTAATAATGTTATAATAATCCCTTTATTTGGGTTTCATTTATATATACACCTCTGAACATATATCTTTAAATTAATAAATTCCTTTCTGCATTTCCTTGTCTCAGTCGCGAGTTCCACAAGGGGAGGTAACCTGTACTATTGTAATCTGTTATATACGTCGCGTAAGATAGTTATCATTTTGTGTGTAATCTGAAACACTGACATTATTTAATTAGATTTAATTATTGGAATTATTTTTTTATATGATTAATGAGGAAGTTAGCCGATGCATACAGTTTTTTTTCCCTTTAAAATCTGTATACATCGTTACCAGCTCTTGCCACGTGGAGGCCTCCTCTTTAAGAGCCATAATGTTTAGTTGATGTCTCAAAATATATTATTATATCTAAAGTTCAAAATGATCAATAATGTTTGTCCTATTCACTGCCCTACACTATTTGTCCTATTCACCGCACTATTTCACTATTCAACAATATATGTCCTTTTCACTGTCCTACACTATTTGTCCTATTCACTGTCCTACACTATTTTTTCCTATTCACCGCCATACACTACTGTCCTGAGTCCGAGATTCGTCACCTTCCTCATCACAGCCTGGCACCAGTGGAAAGAACAGCCCCGAAGATCCACTCCTGGAAGGACGGTTCTGACGGCGTTCCAACAGGCTGAAATGAAAATATAGTTTTATGAGTTACGCCACAATTAGTTTTGACAATTTATTTAATCATAAGCAAATAACTGTTTCCATGTACGATTCACTGATGTTTAGTGCAACTTTTTATATCCGCTTTTCATCAAACTTACCTTATGAGAAACATGATTTCATTAGATACTCAGTGCCCGTACATGTATTTTGTACGAGCGCTAGTATTAAATGAAACCATATTTCGGCCATAAATGAAATATACATATTTAAAGAAACTTGGTTTCATCTCAATATATAATTGTACTTGTAAATGGGCTAAAAGTATCTAATGAAATCAAGTTACTTTAATAACGATGAAGAATTTATTCCTTTTATGGCCGAAAGAATTTTCGTATTTTTTGTTGAACGAACCCATATTTTCGGCCATAAATGGAAACTATATATGAATTACATACCAGTATCACATGTCCTGTGTTGCCATCTGCTACATGTGTCGCACTGCAACGAATGCTGCCTCGGCCTCACCACACGGTCACAATGAAGAGAGTTGTCGGTCATGTTGATTAGGTGCAAAGTGTTGTTCAATTGATGTAAGTCGATTGAAAGTGATTGTCCAAGAAAATCAGTCATATTTATCGCCATTTGCGTGAGTGATCAATACATTTGATTGGCTACCTGGAGTTGAGGCGGTGATGAGGTACTCAGGAGTTAATTATGAGGTACTCAAGAGCTACTCACCTATAACAACAGTCTGGTAGGTGAACATCATTGTTTATGTAAGGCAATAAAAACAAAACAACAACACCAGTACGTAATTAAATAAATCCTTTAATGTTTTTATTTAAATATAATTCTACTTATAAATGTATAAATCCCATGTATTTAACATATAGATACATAGTAGGGCCGATTTTAACTTGGGCCGATTTCACTTGGGTAAAATAGGCCAGGCCGATATTACCTTGGGCCGTTATAACCAAATACCAAGCCGCAGAGAATGGCGCATGTTGTCAGCGGTGATGACAAAAAGGAAGGTGCTTCTACGGTATGTATAGCAGTTATTATGCAAAAACAAACATAATAAACGGACGTTTTACTCTAGTGGATTACAGCGTCACGAGGAACGTCTTTCTCCAGACGTGTTGCAAAATTTTCGAACTGCTTAGTTGCAAACTGATTTCACTTAAGCGTTGTTTGTGAGGATATTTGGCCTTACATTTCTTCTCATTCAGTTAAAAAAAAACATGTTATAAACATTGTATTATTAGATTCATTGTGATGTTGGCTTTCATTGAAGTTTCAATTGTTATACTACTTGATGTTTTGGAAACTTAAACAAGTATAGTAGTTCTAAATATTATGAAATGACAGAAACATTAGGCCAAACAAATTACTTGTGTTTCTACTATCAGAAAAAAATAGGGTAGGTATGTATTAGCTAGGCATTTTATTGTTAATTTGAAAAATATCTTTACTGCGCTAATATAGAGCAGGAGTTCTGACTTTAACAGTGCATATAAAAACTTAAGGGTATTGTAGAACACAAATCTGAGATAAGTCTGGTTAACCACACTGGTGTCGAACACACCAATAAGTATAGTGTGTATAATATATCATAGTTTATACACATCATATTACTATTAGTGTGTCCAGTATCTGTGGGGTTAGCATAAACTCAATATTTGTTTTAAACTTTTAATTGGCCTTATATAATGATCATTTATAGGTCAGACAGGGTTTGGTTTCCAATTCGGAAACTAGACCTGTTAAAACAGTTATCATTTGTAATTTAGAGATTAAATATTTCTAAGCAGAAAAAAATGAACTATAAATATTTTTCAACCTTTTCTGAGTTGTACAATTTTAGAGTATCTTCTGTCTGAAATCTGAACATAACTTGTTTTATGATAAATGTGTAAAACAATTCCTCATACTGGGGTAAAGTTTTTCTATATATAGTCCCAAAAACTACAGATAAAATCCTTGAGCACGTACAAGATACAAAAATATATATTTTACGTCCATTTTGCAAAACATACAACATAAGCTACAAAGACAAAACATGAGTATAATAACAGAGACCAAAATATTACAACATGGAAAAATAAAATAAAAACATGTATGTACATGTAGTATACTGTAAGCTCAGAAAAAGAGTTTATCACTTGGAAAGCACTTAATAGGCACATTGAACACGGTAAGCACATCAGCACATGGTAATTTAAGCACATTTAGAACATTTGCATACAGCACATAAAAAACAAAACCATAACATGGAAAGCTTATTAGCACATAGTAGGCACATTTGCACATTGTAAGCAAAATAAAGGAGTGCAATGGACATCTCCATGTTTCCTGGTTAATTTCTTCTTTATGGAAACAACCAGGGGAGAGTGATGTTCTGCTTCATCTTTTGTATTAATGAAAACCGTGAATATCTAAGTGCGTGTGTTTAAACTAATTTTGTTTTGTTTTTACTGGTACCTTTTTATGTACACATGTTTTACCACCTAAGGAATTAGATGTCTTAAGCCCCCATATGATGTGCTGTTATAAGTTGAATTTAATGTACATTTTGTTTATATTTAGTTCTGCTACCAAAGAGATTGACTTATTGAAATGTTTTTGAAACATTTTAATGAACTCCTCAGCTTTAATGCCTTATTTCTCACTATACAAGCTCATATTGCTATGCCTCCTATTTGTTTGAATATCATCTCTAAACATTATTGCTGGTGCAGAAATTATATGGTAACTATGTTCTATTTTAGGGGGGGAAAGCAATCAATATTACAACAGACAGGGATGGTTATTGATGGGAGAAAGGAGGATGAGAAATAGGAACTGTACCAACTCTCTCATACCTTTGAGGACTTCATGAACTTTTTCAAAAGGCTGCAAGAACTATACCAACAGTGACATGACATTTTGAAATCTGTCAGTTACTTTATAGAGGAGGAACCTCTGACTAAATCATTTTCTCTCAGACACATGAAAGCCGAGTCCACAGATCCTTCCATCAGCGAATAGTTCAAATGTAGTTCAAATGCTTTCCTCGCAAACTTTTCCTTAATGGAGAAGTCAGTGATCTTTACTTGGAACAGATTGAATCTGTGAATATTGATGCTGAAAGCCTGATGAATGTGATTGAACAGCCCCTACTTGATGCTGAAACCCTGATGAATGTGATTGAACACCCACTACTGACTAAGGGCACAAATGTTGGAAACAACGTTTGTTTTGATCAATATAACACTATGGGTGGTGGGAGCAAATTGGAAAAAAAATTAAAAGTATGTTTTTAAAGATAGAAATACTGGTCATGGCTTCCTTTTAGTTTTTGTCCAATGAATTAAAAGTCAACGCAAATGTTAAGTAGTAAAAGAAATGTAAGATCCCTGGTATACATTGTACTTTTAACAATGCTTATGATCAATATCAATAAAATAAAATAAAAGTTATAATATGTAACTTGATATTTGTTAACTTCGCTCGATTTTACTGTGTCCAACATTTGATATTAAATCTTGTGTGATATATGAGAGGGATAGCACACAAGATTGTATCAATGTCAATGAAAGCAATTATTTCTTAAGTTTTCAACCATATTTCTTGAAACTTCATTTCTAAATTTCATACATCAATTGTTCAAGACAGTTTTAAGGTCAATTTCATTCAGTCAAGGTGAAGGCTACAGCTTCACAACCTGTTCATGTACATGTGACAGAGAAATTGTCAGTGCATTCCTAACTAAGTATTCAAACCAAATTTTATAAACCTTGATCCATCATTCTCAACATTAAATCATGCACTACCTGTTTGCATATACACAAGCAACCTCAACTTTCAATAAGTCCTGTTGTCAACATTTGTTGCACAATGCTATCAGTTCTGAAACCAACAATCATGACAACTGTAATAACATAGTATGTGTTCTAGCTGGTACATTTGCAGTACTCTTTTGAAATGTATTTGAAATTAATATGTGCATCTTATTTCAAATGCTAGCCTATGAAGATGATAAAGCTGAACATATGCTATAAAGTTGTTGTTTTCTTTGTGAAGAATTTATGCAATGGAAATAGAGGGAAAATAATGTAACTCTCCTAATCTTGTGTGTGTGTGTGAGTATGTATGTTTATATTTTGTTTATCTTATTCAATATTGAAACATACAACAATGTATCATATTGAATTAGAGTGCTTTTTATATTATTTGTTCATGGGAACACAGATTCAAAATAGTTCCATTTTTCATAAGAAGAGACCTTTTCACTGCAGTGAATATGTAAAACACTTTATTTAAAAGTTTTTCAAAATTATTGAGAGACTTGTAAATTTATGGGTAGCAGTAATCCACTTGCTTATCCACAATTTAGTTTCGGCAAGTAAACATCCTTATAAATATTGTTCTGTAACAATATACACTGACTGATGCAAAATTGAAACTTGAACAAAATTCACACGTATTAAAAAGCATGCCAACCCTGGTCGATGTGCACACTTTACAAGATAACTTGCTTGAATATATATTGATCAATATACAAACTTAGACGATAAGTTCAAAGTTGAGTGAAATCCATGCCTAATTAATTAGCATACTGTACTCTGATTGGTCAATGGTTTTATGCCAAGTAACTTTGTTAGATAAGGCAAGGGTTGATATCTTATTCAACAACAAAGGCAAAGTTCAAAGATGTTCACAATCTGTGCATAATCTATTCAATGGTTTAAAATAATCAGGTATTGGTCAAAGGGGTAAATGCCAGTTTCAGTTTTTAATGTTCTATGAAATACATTGTATGGACAAAGGGAAGCAATTCCAAATTCCTATGCAAATTAATTATCCAAAGGTTTAAAATGATATATTCTAGAGGAAACTTGGTACCACTCTTCTGACAAACCTATAAAGATATACTGTACACACAAGAAGAATAACTTCACAGTGGTACACTTTTACATAAAACTTTGATTCATAACAAATTAACAGTAAATCCTTCTGTACAATATGATGGGAACTTCGTCTTTATTTTGTTCTCCATTCCAAAAATAATATATATATCTTTTGCCTTAGCTTTCAGTACTTTCAGTACTTTGATTGTTGCTTCATTTTCTAATGGAAGGGAGAAGTAAAAAAACACTTTTAAGTGGAATTCTTCATGATTAAATCTAGATCTGATGTAGTGGTACCTTTTAACTATAAGGAGAATAAAAAGAATGATTTTGTCTGGGTACATGTAACTGTTATACAAAGATTATACATTTCAAAAATATTAGATATTGTTAAAACTAAATATACTGTCATCACTTTGCAGCATTCATTAAAGATACTATTCATGTTTGCACTAAAATGTTGATTCCTATTCATGTTTGCACTAAAATGTTGATTCCTAAAGGAATAAAGCAATATGATTTACAGTGCTCTGTACCATTTACAATGGTATGCTACATTGTAACCTGGGAATCTTCCCCAGGCTCATCTACAGAGCAGTTGATGTTGAAGACTTTTGTACTTTACAGATTGCCGAGATGCTGTTACAGTATGGGGCTGACCCTAACATTGCCGACAGATACCTACACACTCCTCTACACAGGGCTGCGTCCAAAGGTCATGTCAAACTGACTAAACTCTTACTCCAGTATAATGTGGATGTGAATGCCAGGGATTCCGAGGGAAATACCCCATTGTAAGAACTCCTAGTCTATTAATATCTCGCCATCATCAAATGGTGGGCTTTTCCAATTGCCATTCATCCATGCTATGTTATCCATCTTTAAACAATTCTTGCTATCTTTATTTGTGCGATGAAATTGGGACAACATATCTATGAATTACTGCCATAGTTAAAAGTGGAATGTCACAATGTCAGTCTGGATGTCGGACACGGACTGGAGGCCATAGAATAAGACCCTATATGGTTTATTGTTTATCAACTTTTGATTTATTTTATAGTAAAACTTTAAAAAAAAGAAAATGCTCCTGTTATATCATTATAATTTAGTACAAAATTTAACTTTTTTTTATTGTTTAAAAGACACTTGGCTTGTGAGGAGGAGAGGACTGAAGTTAGCTTGCTGCTAGTGGGACATGGTGCACAAATACAACTCCTCAACAAGGTACAGTTACATAAACAGTCTGCTGTAAGGAGATCTAGAGTTATATAATAAATGATGAAGATTCTGCATCTATAATTATGGATGTTGACATTCACCTACTGAAAATCTATATTTATGCATAATGAGTCTATTCACTCCTGGATTTTAACCAAATTAGGTTTGAACATACATCTTATATGTGCAATGGTCAGGCCAAGTTTCATGTGTTCATTTTTAGCTCACCTGCCCGAAGGGCAAGTGAGCTTATGTTATGGTGCGGCATCCGTTTTTGCTTTAAACAACTTCTTCTCAATAACCAAAAGGCCTAGGGTACTGATATTGGGCCTGTAGCATGCTGGGATGAAGGACTATCAAGTTTGTTCAACTGAATGACCTTGACCAACTTTCAAGGTCACAGGGGTCAAATGTCGTAAAATCTTCAAGCGACTTCTTTTCAATAAGCAAAAGGGCCAGGGTACTGAAATTGGGCCTGTAGCATGCTGGGATGAAGGATTACCAAGTTAGTTCAAATGAATGACCTTGACCAACTTTCAAAGGTCAAAGGGGTCAAATGTCATAAAATCTTCAAACGACTTCTTCTCAATAACCAAAAGGCCCAGGGTACTGATATTGGGCCTGTAGCATGCTGGGATGAAGGGCTACCAAGTTTGTTTAAATGAATGACATTGACCCACTTTCAAGGTCACTGGGGTCAGATGTCTTAAAATCTTCAAACAACTTCTTCTCAATAACCAAAAGGCCCAGGGTACTGATATTGGGCCTGTAGCATGCTGGGATGAAGGACTATCAAGTTTGTTCAACTGAATGACCTTGACCAACTTTCAAGGTCACAGGGGTCAAATGTCGTAAAATCTTCAAGCGACTTCTTTTCAATAAGCAAAAGGGCCAGGGTACTGAAATTGGGCCTGTAGCATGCTGGGATGAAGGATTACCAAGTTAGTTCAAATGAATGACCTTGACCAACTTTCAAAGGTCAAAGGGGTCAAATGTCATAAAATCTTCAAACGACTTCTTCTCAATAACCAAAAGGCCCAGGGTACTGATATTGGGCCTGTAGCATGCTGGGATGAAGGGCTACCAAGTTTGTTTAAATGAATGACATTGACCCACTTTCAAGGTCACTGGGGTCAGATGTCTTAAAATCTTCAAACAACTTCTTCTCAATAACCAAAAGGCCCAGGGTACTGATATTGGGCCTGTAGCATGCTGGGATGAAGGACTATCAAGTTTGTTCAACTGAATGACCTTGACCAACTTTCAAGGTCACAGGGGTCAAATGTCGTAAAATCTTCAAGCGACTTCTTTTCAATAAGCAAAAGGGCCAGGGTACTGAAATTGGGCCTGTAGCATGCTGGGATGAAGGACTACCATGTTAGTTCAAATGAATGACCTTGATCCACTTTCAACCTAATGTCCTTGTTCGACAATCAAGGTCAGAGGCATCATATGTTTAAATCTTTTAATAGGTTCTTATGAAATCTTAAGATTACAAGTGTTAGATTAATAACAGGTGAGCGATGCAGGCCCATTGGGCCTCTTGTTACACATAATTAACAAGGCTGTCCACTTCTGGTTGGTTAATTGGTTGCCATGCAATAACTCCGCTAACAACGTGTTACTGTGGAATAATACCCGTACTTACTACCAAATTGGATGTGCATATGCAGTTAAGTCGCTGTCATATTATGTCTGACATGTTTGCCAGCCTCCTCATTTCATGCAGTTGAGTGTCTAGTATATATACATCTAACTTCAGTAGAAAGCTGGTGAGTTTCCCCGACATGTCCAGGCCTTATGGTTTTGAGAAGAAACCTTTTAATGTATTTAACTCTTGTGTCCCTCAAAGTGGGTAAGGATTATGTAGTAGAACAAAGATTAAAATGTTTGGTTCTGAGTAAATTACAAACTACAGAACTTGTAAGAAGACTTAGGTCTCTGGATTCTGTTAACATTGATTGAAGTTCTAAACATATCCGACTCATGTGAGCTAAATATGGATCAGTCACTTTATACTTAAAAAACAAGTCACTGCAGAAATCTACAGGGCAAATATGAAGGTAGGCCTTATGAGTCTGTAGAAGAAGTCTTTTCAGTTGAACAAAATATTACAAACTGCACAAATAGTGAAAGAAAATTGGTTTAGATTGAAATGGGGTTATGAAATCATATTGAAATTTGAAGGGTAATGGAATAAGACTACATTCCATTCAAAAGCAAGTTTTCTTTTTATGTTCTTTCAGTGATATTGTCCAAATGTCATATGAATTTGTCAGATAACAGGTGTTTTTCCCAAATAAATGTCAATTATGTTAACTTCATGTTGTTAATTTTTAGACTATAATATACTGTTTCAGCAAATGAAGTATCTCAGGAAATACTTTTTTTTGCAGGAAGAGAAATCACCTCTCGACTTAGCAAAACCAGGACTTCAGCGATCTCTTCAAAATGCCAGTCAAAGCTAACAGTAACTCTTTCATGGCACATGTGCACAGTGTTGTCAGGTGTACAAATAACTGAGACTGTTTTTGACCGACGACAGCCAAGGACCTTGTGAATATCTTGAGATACAAAGATGTTGTAACATTTGTTCTGAGTAACATTACTCGTGTTCATGACCAGCACAGCAAGGTGCTTTACCTGATACTTTTATTTACAGATGTTATTGCTATATTTGTTCCTGTGATACAGCATTGGGAATCACAGGTATTGTTGTTGATCAAGCAAAATAGGTTTTGATGAAATAAAAAAAGTAAAAATGTCACTCATTTTATGAACATTTGCTTATTTTTTATCCTGGTGTCAAAAATAACGATTAATCAAAACAAAAACAAATGTAAAAATACCATAGTATAATTTTTATTCAATATACATATTTGATATTTACAGTAGAAGTTTAACTTGATATTATTCTATAAGTAGTAAAACAAACATTTTAGTCTGCAAACAATTAAAGTTTGTACAGACAACGTGTATTTCTTACAAAGTCTCAGAGATACAGGCTGCTGTAGCTCATGACTAATACACAACACTAAGCTGTTACAGTAGATCCTTTATCATAGAATCAGATCAACGTGTTTATAATCGAGAGACCAGAATTGATAGCACACAGTTGATATTTAGCTGAGTCAGGAATGTATATAAAATACAAAGAATACCCATCTTATAAATCCTAATGGTTTCTCTTGTGTTCTTTTAAGTCATCAATATATTTATCAAAAGATTGGTCCCACCGTACCGAGATAAACATGGTTTTTATTTTTATTAATTTTGGCATGTATAGCTTTAACTGTTAACCCTTTCACCACTGTAGAACATAATGGACTCATCCAGATCAATGCATGGTAGAGTCTGCTACAGTTACATAGGGTTGAAAGGGTTAAATGAATGTCGTGACAACAATGCTCTTTCTGAATTACAGTACTGTTTAAGTTGCTATTCCCAGAGACAGAGACTTATCACCACATTTTGAGATACCAATAGTAAAGATAACGTGTCTATTGCATGAAAACAAGTGATTTTAAATTGTCACTTCTGTGTTTCGGATACACACAAGTAATGATTTGCAACAGTTCTGCAGCGAAAAAAAAAAGGTTTCAGAATTTTTCACTATCTACGTAATTTTCTTCTTTAGTTATTTTGGTAAGATACATTTTATTGTCAAAATTTAGTGTTTTTAACATTATATTATATCCAACAAGGAATTCAACTTGAATTTGTCAGATCTGAGTATGTTTCCTCACACATCTGTTGGAGTGTTTCCACATGAAGACTTTTTATATGGCTTTGATGTGTTTGGATGATGAAGTGAATGAATGCTAGTCTATGAACATTTCCAGATCATAATTGCCATATTTCCTCCAAAGAACATGTATAGCAAGTTCTTCACTTCATGTGTGATTTCAAATCCATAGCCTTCTCCCACTATCGCATGCCATGATGCTCCAAATTTTTTATCCATTGTTTCTTTGATCATCCTTGCTGCAGTCTGAAACGGAAAATAGAATTATTGTGACTAGAGTGTTGGCTTGCTAAAATGATGGAAATAGAATTTCTATAATTCATCAGGTATGGTACTAATTACAGGTACCAAGGTTTTAAACATGCAGGACACAAATTTTAAACATATGCTATTCCTGGGTGTATAACTGAAAATTCCTAAATATATTTCTGATTTTCTCTTTTTTTCCCAGAATTAACATTTTAAATGGCCATCTCACTGAAATGTCATAATCTAGCCACAGAAGCACAACACTATTGACCATGGCCTTTTTTCAAATATCTAGATTTTTGCAAAGCATATAATTATCACCAGTGAGTGGAAAAGTACATGGTGTTGCATGTATCTGGAAATAGAACACCAACCTCGTTATTACTGGAAAACTTCTCACAGGCTGTTACACATAATTCCATAGCTTCTGTCTTCATCTCGTCATTCATGTCTGAATGCTGCAAAAATAAAAATAATCATACATGTACATTTATTACTGTACTACGACTAAAATCACATAAATTTTGACATGAATATTTAAATAATAATTTAAATGGAGTATAATAATAATAATTTGAGGTTCTTATATACTGCTTTATCACAACCTAGTTCGTAGGTCGTCTCAAAGCGGTTCACAAATTATTATTCATGGTTATAGGGCCTTTGCAACCCGCCAATATCTTTCTCAACTCCCTGGGCAGCATACACCCTAGCTAGCATTCTATAATTATAGCACTGCCTAACCATGTACTCATTTACAGCTAAGTTGACTGGAACAAGCAGAGTAAAGTATATTGCTCAAAGATAAAAGTAACAACACAGTGCCATGCCTTGACCCAAACCTGCAACCCTTCGGTTACAAGCCTGGCGTCCTACCACTAGACTACCGTGCCTCCGAAAGTGTAGAAGCATTTTATTATAGATGACTGATTATATATCTGATGAAGATAACAAGTTTTCCATTCTATCAAACAAAGGCATGCAAATATAGGATGGAAGTTAAAAATTCTTGATTGTGTTAAAAATGTATTTCTTTTATTTATATATATGAAATCTTTACCAACCTTATAAAAAGATTTAACAAAATCTTACAGATCAGATTTTGACATAAGTAATTCTGGTAACGAAAATATTTAAATATTTGATGTTGCAAAGCATCGTGAGCTATCCATATTAACATGTGATCTCCTGCCGAACATTGATATCAGATATAATGAAAGAAAAGACCACAGCTCTGCAGTGGGACATGAGAACTAGACTCACTATGAGATACTCTGCCCCTCCAATAGGTATTTACAAAAATTGGACCTGCATGTACTTGGTTTAGACCAGTAAACAACTTATGATACAAGTTGAAGAATCAATTGAATTATACTTACAATAACTGGTATGGACAAGTACTGTTTCTTTCCTTTCTATTTAATAGTAGCTCTTATGGTCATTTCAGTGACAGTGACTATACGTAACATTAGCACTGAGAAGCACTTACCTATTATATCATATTATCTGATTATAACAAATCGTACAATGAGGCTATACTAACTGGAAGGTTATTACAGATAACCAGACACCACAAAATGGACAGTAACAATAAAATCATGCACAGATGATTAAATCTATTATTAGAATGTTCCCACATACAGTGGATCACGCTTATGAATATAAACAAAATTTTGTATCGTTCAAATTCAGTATTGGGAATTATCGGCTGGAACTTGATATTTAAGATAGCTTTTATGGTTGAGACACTTTGAACTTGGAGAGGGACATTGACCAGCTTAAGGAGATTCACCTCCATGCAGCCCAGTGTCTTTGTAACAACGATAACAGCGATTTACTTGAACTACTAGAAAACACCATGACATTAGTATCAGTAAAGTGTGGAGATTTTAAGGCTTCATTAGCAGCACACAGTGACTAATGTGACTACGCACACTCACTCACCCTTGGTAGATTTATGCTCACTAGTGAGCCACTGGAAGTAGGTTACCAGTACAACTGTACTACAGAGATGCAGACCTGCATTTTTATGACACGAGGGTGATTGTAATCAATGGCAAGGGAACATTGTGAAATTCTAGCATTATAACATATCACAATTAGTTCATGCAAAAACCTTAAGGGAAAAGGCTATTTAAACAAAAACATGAATAAACGACGTATCCAGTCAGTGTGTTATTAATCTTCAAATTGTTGAAGTTGGTCAGTACACTGTAGCTCTAAATAAGAACGTCAGATAAACAACAAAGAACATTCAACCCGTAGACGCGAAATATACTTACTCTTATAAGGGGATATGTATGCACACGTTTGGAGTCAGGCTCCTTCTTTTCTTCTACCACCTCTCCCATCTTTGTATTTTTCTTTTCTTTCGTTAAAACGTGATTGAAGTTTCCGATATGTTGGCAATGAAGCTATCCAAATGGTGGTTACCAAGCAGTAATGCGCATGCGTACGATTCAATTGATTTAACTTCCGTTTCCTGTTGCAAGCACATGCGTTTGTTTACTAGTTGCTTTGCATTTAACAGAAAATGCTCGTTGATCTTGACATTTTCTATCATGTCAGACAGCAGGACAGAAGTAAGAAGATTTTGTAAGCAGATAGAAAACATCGTCACTAATCCAAAAGGACAACACGAGTTACAACAAGCATTGAGAGATGTCAACTGCCTAACTCTTGACTTGGATTTGACTGCAGAAGTCAAGCTATTTCAGTTCAGTGATATAGCAACTGCGAAATGTGTTTTTCGGCAAACATTCTATTGCCCTTTCGGGTGTTTTCTTATGAACATACTATCTTTTGATTGGATACGATTATATTTTAAATATGAAGAAATAAAACAGAACTTTGATAATTACTTTCTGAAGGCAAACAACTCTGGTACATTTATTATCCTGTCAAAATGTTTAGCAGATTCAAGGTAATCATGAAAGCTCTATATCTTGTATGAACTAAAAATAAAATAAAAAAATATGATGTACAATACAACCCAGCTGTGGATATCCCCTTGCCAAGCATTCACCCATGTAGTTAACTTGAAACAAGTGTAACAGGAAAGAGAATAGTGTGCTTCTACCGAGGATCGACCCCTTGATCTCCAGGTTCCTAGTCGGACGCTCTAACACTGAGCTAAATGGAAATTCCCACTAGCTTGACCTTAATTCTATGTACATTTAAAAGCTGCCACACTACTCCCCCCTTTTTAAATGTGTTCGCCCTGGAACACCACAACCCAGGTTCTAACTCCCTGTGGTGACAGGGAGGGCAACGGACACCATTTGTAACAGTAAAGAGATTAGTGTGCTTCCACCGGGGATCGAACCCTCATTCTCAAGGTTCCTAGTCTGACGCTCTACCACTGAGCTAAAGGGAAATTCCCTCTAGCTCGAAGGTAGAATCTACCTTAATCCTATGTACAATTAAAACCTGCCACATAAGGGTACGTTGGTCACAGGCACTACTGTAATGGAAAAGATAAATGCATACCAGATTGTAATTCCAACCCAGGGCCATTCAAACTCTAGGGAGACGGTTTACCAGCTGAGCTACCTGGTCGCCAACAAATGACCCAGTCCAGTTCCGCTACACATTAATCAATGACGTTTTCCAGGGATGAGCAGGGACATATATGTATAGCAGAACAGTTGACTATACAACTAACCAGTGACCAGGTAGCTTGATTGGTTAATTAAAGTGTCTAGAGTTTAGAGGTCCTAAGTTTAAATTCCTGTCTGGATTCTTTGTTGCATGTTAAATTTATTGTCCTGTTAGAGTGGTGCCAGTGCCTGACCCTTGTTTTAAGTAATGTGTGCTTCACCAGACGATACTCAAACCTGGGTGGTAATGTAACTAGTGTCTATCTATCTGTCTTTGGAGGAAAAGATTCAGAGACAGGAGGGAGGTGTGGAGTGGGACTCCGGGTTGAGTGACTGGTTACAATTTTATGCAAATCCAAGTATGACCAGTGCTTATACATGGTATTATAACAACTAATCTCCTTCCAATTGGATTTCTAGGTTAATAGTCCTAATTACAGATGATTTGTTCTCAATTTACCAGTTGATGGTTTTGGTTAGGTAGGTAGAGTTACCGTCCCTAATTTAACAATGCAGTCTGTATTATATGCAAACACTTTCACAGGCTTTTTGCACTAATATGAATATCATCTAATTTCACCACACCTCTAGCATTATCCCAAACACATGCTGAGGAAACTTCCTACTTATTCTGTACATATTACTTAGCCAAATAATAACCAGAACAGGATAAATTACATATTTTATCTTGCCCTCTGGTTTTTAAAATGATACAGAATTTTAACTTTTATTATGGCTTACATGTAGTTGCTGTACAGACGTTTAATGATTTCATTGATACAGAGCTGGAGTGAAGCAGAACAAATGTGTAAAGCTGCTAGAAGAGTTCCTACAGAGAAGATGTCTTGATCCTGTGATAGTTCAGTATTGCAAAGCAAGCATCCAGTCAGAGGAACAGTTTATTGTAGACAAGTTCATTGGAGCCCTGGTGTCTTTCCCTGATCAAGCAGCAAATGTCCTCCAGACTCAGAACAGGTACAGTAGTTATATTGAGGGACACTAGGTATAGAGGTTCACACTTGAGGGATAACGGGTACAGAGGTACTCTCTTAAGGGACAACAGCTATTAATGAGGTTGGAAAACTTATGATAACTCCCTGCCAAAAATAGTATAATCTGTTTCTAATTACATTACACAAAAATAACAGGTTACTTGAGGGATAACCAGGACTATTTAAGGGGTTATATTGTATGTATTGAAAAAAGAAAAAAGTGTGCAATTGGCATAAATCCATGAAGTGGTTTATGCAAAAATATTATCACAATTTCCCAAGAAGTACTTAACAGATCTTTCTCAAATTTCAGTGCTCCTTGTTTCACATTAAGTGCTGTACTAGGAAATAGGTCACATGACCACCTCACTTTGAAAGTTATGTCATTTAGGCACAGCAGTATGACGCTTAGATCAAAAGTTAACTCAAGGTGCATTAACTGTTTACATGACTCAATCAAACAGATTAAGAGAAAAGAAGAGAAATAATCAGACTTACATAGAACTAATGAAGATGGTACGAGGGTTGGTGCCACGATCCATCTGAGATCTTTTGTTTATTGAGATATGGCTTGTCTTGCAGTTTGGTTCGGTTTATAGTTATCAAAGATATGATAATTTTAAGTCTAAAATGACTCATTGCTGATTCAGCTGAATTTTCTAATTAAACAATACTGCATATGTAGTGTATGGTATAACTGTAGTGTGAGGTGTATATTTTGTTTCAGTGATTTGTTCCTGCCTCAGCAGTATATACCACTAATAGGGCAAACCATACTGGCAAGTCTGGAACATGCATGTGACCGCATTAGGAAAGGTCAAGATGTCAGTCTGCAGTTTGTTGGTCAGCTGTGTGCTAAGCTATCTTTGTCAGGGTTTGCAGGTATGGGGTTTAAAGTCATTAACATTTAGAAAAATAAAAAAGAGTAATGACAGTATTCTCCATTAATTTCATGAACTTTATACATGTATGTACTGTTAACTGAAATGTTATAGGATGCATATATATATATAGTGTATCAGTACAATTTAAAATAAAATCAAAAACGTCTTTTTGAACTTCTTTTTATCTTTTATGGCCATAGATTCTTGTTGCCCATATATTCATGTTTTTGTAGAGTTGCTGTGGAGGACCCTGATGTCTCGCATGATGTTAGAGGTACAAAGAGACTTTATATGGAGCCGTGTATGTGAGAGGCTGATCACAGGGATTCCAGACCGAGGATTAGATATAGTACTAAGAACAGTACTGAGGATCATCCCATGGTAAGTAGTGATAAGTACTGTGTGCGGTACTAAGGATCATCCCATGGTAAGTAGTGATAAGTACTGTGTGCGGTACTAAGGATCATCCCATGGTAAGTAGTGATAAGTACTGTGTGCGGTACTGAGGATCATCCCATGGTAGGTTGTGATAAGTATCGTGTACAGTACTGAGGATCATACCATGGTAGATTGTGATAAGTATTGTGTACAGTACTGAGGATCATCCCATGGTAGACAGTACTGAGGATAATCCCATGGTAGATTGTGATACGTACTGTGTACAGTACTAAGGATCATCCCATGGTAAGATGTGATAAGTAATGTGTACAGTACTGAGGCTCATACCATGGTAGGTTGTGATACGTACTGTGTACAGTACTGAGGATCATACCATGGTAGATTGTGATAAGTATTGTGTCCAGTACTGAGGATCATCCCATGGTAGGTTGTGATAAGTTCTGTGTGCGGTACTGAGGATCATCCCATGGTAAGTAGTCATAAGTATTGTGTGCGGTACTGAGGATCATCCCATGGGAGGTTGTGATAAGTACTGTGTACAGTACTGAGGATAATCCCATGGTAGGTTGTGATAAGTATCGTGTACAGTACTGAGGATCATCCCATGGTTGGTTGTGATAAGTACTGTGTGCAGTACTGAGGATCATCCCATGGTAGGTTGTGATAAGTTCTGTGTGCGGTACTGAGGATCATCCCATGGGAGGTTGTGATAAGTACTGTGTACAGTACTGAGGATAATCCCATGGTAGATTGTGATACGTACTGTGTACAGTACTAAGGATCATCCCATGGTAAGTTGTGATAAGTAATGTGTACAGTACTGAGGCTCATACCATGGTAGGTTGTGATACGTACTGTGTACAGTACTGAGGATCATCACATGGTAGGTTGTGATAAGTACTGTGTACAGTACTGAAGATCATCCCATGGTAGGTTGTGATAAGTATTTTGTACAGTACTGAGGATCATCCCATGGCAAGTTGTGATACGTACTGTGTACAGTACTGAGGATCATACCATGGTAGGTTGTGGTGAGTACTGAGGATAATCCCATGGTAGATTGTGATACGTACTGTGTACAGTACTAAGGATCATCCAATGGTAAGTTGTGATAAGTAATGTGTACAGTACTGAGGCTCATACCATGGTAGGTTGTGATACGTACTGTGTACAGTACTGAGGATCATCCCTTGGTAAGTTGTGATAAGTATCGTGTACAGTACTGAGGATAATCCAATGGTAGATTGTGATACGTACTGTGTACAGTACTAAGGATCATCCCATGGTAAGTTGTGATACGTACTGTGTACAGTACTGAGGATCATCCCTTGGTAAGTTGTGATAAGTATCGTGTACAGTACTGAGGATAATCCAATGGTAGATTGTGATACGTACTGTGTACAGTACTGAGGATCATACCATGGTAGGTTGTGGTGAGTACTGAGGATAATCCCATGGTAGATTGTGATACGTACTGTGTACAGTACTAAGGATCATCCAATGGTAAGTTGTGATAAGTAATGTGTACAGTACTGAGGCTCATACCATGGTAGGTTGTGATACGTACTGTGTACAGTACTGAGGATCATCCCTTGGTAAGTTGTGATAAGTATCGTGTACAGTACTGAGGATAATCCCATGGTAGATTGTGATACGTACTGTGTACAGTACTGAGGATCATACCATGGTGGGTTGTGATACGTACTGTGTACAGTACTGAGGATCATACCATGGTGGGTTGTGATAAGTACTGTGTACAGTACTGAGGATAATCCCATGGTAGGTTGTGATAAACATCGTGTACAGTACGGAGGATAATCCCATGGTTGGTTGTGATAAGTACTGTGTGCAGTACTGAGGATCATCCCATGGTAGGTTGGGATAAGTATTGTGTACAGTACTGAGGATCATCCCATGGTAAGTTGTGATAAGTATCGTGTACAGTACTGAGGATTATCCCATGGTCGGTTGTGATAAGCACCGTGTACAGTACTGAGGATCATCCCATGGTAGGTTGTGATACGTACTGTGTACAGTACTGAGGATCATCACATGGTAGGTTGTGATAAGTACTGTGTACAGTACTGAGGATCAACCCATGGTGTGTTGTGATAAGCATCGTGTACAGTACTGAGGATCATACCATGGTAGGTTGTTATACGTACTGTGTACAGTACTGAGGATCATCCCTTGGTAAGTTGTGATAAGTATCGTGTACAGTACTGAGGATCATCCCATGGTGGGTTGTGATAAGTACTGTGTACAGTACTGAGGATAATCCCATGGTAGGTTGTGATAAACATCGTGTACAGTACGGAGGATAATCCCATGGTTGGTTGTGATAAGTACTGTGTGCAGTACTGAGGATCATCCCATGGTTGGTTGTGATAAGAACTGTGTACAGTACTGAGGATCATCCCATGGTTGGTTGTGATAAGTATCGTGTACAGTACTGAGGATCATCCCATGGTGGGTTGTGATAAGTACTGTGTACAGTACTGAGGATCATCCCATGGTGTGTTGTGATAAGCATCGTGTACAGTACTGAGGATCATACCATGGTAGGTTGTGATAAGTACTGTGTACAGTACTGAGGATCATCCCATGGTAGGTTGTGATAAGTATCATGTACAGTACTGAGGATCATCCCATGGTAGGTTGTGATAAGCATCGTGTTCAGTACTGAGGATCATCCCATGGTAAGTTTTGATAAGCATCGTGTACAGTACTGAGGATCATCTCATGGTAGATTGTGATTTAATAATAATATTACTGAGTTCATCCATCTATATTTACATTTGCACTGCAACCCACTATATTGACATTACCAGCAGAAATGCATTTCATTTGAGTATGAAAGCAAAATTTCTCATGACGTAACAGGTGGTTTACTTATGATTTCATGGATTATCCTTGTTCAATGAAAGTCTTGTCGCTTCGCTTCTGATAACATGTAGAATGCCCCTGCGTCAAACACTTATATGACTACAGTTTATTGTTGGCGCCAATTTTATTTAAATCAGGCTCTTCCGCCAATGTCGTTTAAAGGACGACGCATATACAAAACACAGTAAATTCATTAAATATTTAAGAACAAATAAATTAAATTAAACAATTGTTTTATAGTAAAAATGTAAATATATGAATTGAACGGCGTTTTTTTAAATTTTCATGCCAGAATGAATGCAAATCGGTTACATCCATATTGAACATGAAGCCCTAGGGGGCATCATGCAATATAGATGTAACCGATTTGTGTTCATACCGGCATGAACATTCAAAAAATGCGGTTCACTCCCTATATAAATGTTAGGATACCTGATAGGGATACTAGGTACTGTAATATATCTATCTATCTACGTCTGTTTATGATGATCAGGTATATTTTAGGTATGGCTTTGTGGACAAGTTCCTGGGTGACTGTATCCTGACTAAACACAGAGTGGAGTATCTGATGTGTACCAAGATGTTATTGCTACAGTATACAGACAAGGTCAGTACACAACAATCTACAGATCTACGCTATAACAAGTACAGTAAGTATTTTCCTTCCATGTCATTTAGATATCTGTTCACATGTAAATGGGGTCACCCCTTGTCATTTAGAGTTCTGCTGACTTAAGTATATTCACCCCTTGTCCTTTAGCGTGCTGCTGACTTAAGTATATTCACCCCTTGTCATTTAGAGTTCTGCTGACCTAAGTATGTTCACCCCTTGTCATTTAGAGTTCTGCTGATCTAAGTATATTCACCCCTTGTCATTTAGAGTTCTGCTGACTTAAGTATATTTACCCCTTGTCATTTAGAGTTCTGCTTACTTACGTACATTCACCCCTTGTCATTTAGAGTTCTGCTGACTTACGTATATTCACCCCTTGTCATTTAGAGTTCTGCTGATCTAAGTATATTCACCCCTTGTCATTTAGAGTTCTGTTGACTTACGTATATTCACCCCTTGTCATGTAGAGTTCTGCTTACTTACGTATATTCACCCCTTGTCATTTAGAGTTCTGCTTACTTAAGTATATTCACCCCTTGTCATTTAGAGTTCTGCTGACCTAAGTATATTCACCCCTTGTCATTTAGAGTTCTGTTGACTTACGTATATTCACCCCTTGTCATTTAGAGTTCTGCTTACTTACGTATATTCACCCCTTGTCATCACTTTAGGGACTTTTAAATATTCCTATAAGTAATACGAATGACATGTACAGTACCTCAGACGTTCTTCTGCTTTAGCGTGCTGCTGACAAGTCCAAGGTCACTGTTACTATCTTCATAAATCTTTGTCATTGTTTCAGCGACATATCTTCCAATTTATATGCATTCTTTATGCTAGATTTTCTTTGTAGAGTCTTGTTGTTCACAATATACTGGGATATCTAGCCAGCTCACACACCAGACAGCCGTTACTCATCAAGGTATTTATCTTTATAGAATAGGAGACATTAAGGTACTATAAAGTTAGTTTAGGATAAATTATTATCTATACATCACAGTATTTAAAATCAATCCAGAGAAAATTCATCCAAAGCAAGGTATGCCAGTTCCTTATTCATGGTAATTATGGTATGATAATTAAGTTAAATTCAGTGCATTGCTGAAGAAATGAAATAACTATCTTCATATTTATCTTATTGCTTTTTGATTTCCTATTTCCAACATATCTTCTTAAGGTAATCATGCTACTGGTAATTCATTGATTACTTAAATTTGTTCAGTATAAACTTTCCTCCATTGGTGACATTGAAGACGCAGCAGTAGAGTGGTAAAAACACTTGTCCCAAACGTCTACATACATCGTATACCTAGTATACAGATGATGAAGGTGTAGTTGGGAGTATGGACAGTGTAAATGTGTGTTTCAGACTATGAAGGGGTTGCTACGAGTGTGGGGAGACGGAAGTGCTTTACGTCATACTTCAGGAGAGCAGCATCTCTACATAACCAAAGCACTTCTTATCTGCTGCAATCACCTCGCAGAGCGGGATGCTCAGACGCACAAAGATGGTATGCACCTTAACAAGTAGTTATCCTGACATTATTTATTACATGTTCAGTAACCTGAATTTATTTACAGCTGTTATATAAGTATTATGTGTCACACAGGACATAACTTACAGCTCCTGTAAGTACCATGTGTAACACAGGACATAACTTACAGCTCCTGTAAGTACCATGTGTCACACAGGACATAACTTATAGTTCCTGTAAGTACCATGTGTCACACAGGACATAACTTACAGCTCCTGTAACTACCATATGTCCCCCTGGTACATAACTTACAACTCCTGTAAGTACCATGTGTCACACAGGACATAAATTACAGCTCCTGTAAGTACCATGTGTCACACAGGACATAACTTACAGCTCCTGTAAGTCCCATGTGTCACCAGGGACATAACTTTCAGCTCCTGTAAGTATCATGTGTCACCCAGGGACATAACTATCAGCTCCTGTAAGTACCATATGTCACACAGGACATAACTTACAGCTCCTGTAACTACCATATGTCCCCCTGGTACATAACTTACAGCTCCTGTAAGTACCATGTGTCACACAGGACATAACTTACAGCTCCTGTAAGTACCATGTGTCACCAGGGACATAACTTACAGCTCCTGTAAGTACCATGTGTCACCCAGGGACATAACTTACAGCTCCTGTAAGTACCATGTGTCACCAGGGACATAACTTTCAGCTCCTGTAAGTA